GCGGCGGGAGAGGGGTCAGCTCCGCAAGCAGCGCGGCGGGAGAGGGGTCAGCTCCGCACGCAGCGCGGCGGGAGAGGGGTCAGCTCCGCACGCAGCGCGGCGGGAGAGGGGTCAGCTCCGCACGCTGCGCGGCGGGAGAGGGGTCAGCTCCGCACGCAGCACGCCAGCACATTCACTCCCAGTGTAAACACACTCGCACTGGATTACAGTGCTCTGCCCCATCTTACTGACCTCCATTACGCTTCTCTGCTAAACTTTTCTTTCACTTTTGAGACCGCACAGGATTTATTTGATTTCTTCAGCATCTTAGGCTTTAGCCCATAGGGCACAACAAGACTTAAAATAGCAGCCGTTTGTGCCACTTTCTAGCTTAATCTTAGTTGTTTTCTCATCATTCACTGAACTGGACCGAACAACACGGCAGTAAACGGGAGAGTTTACAGCTGTGGTGAAACATGAATGCAGAGGATTTTCAGAGGTTATCATAAAAATAAACTTCTACTCTACATTATGGAGCACAAACATAAAAAAAGAAGAAGTGTCTCTTTCAGGAAGTTCAGAAGATATATATTAATCTTAAAAAAAACAAAAAAAACAAACAATAGTTTGAGGAAAATGCCTTCCGAGGCAGTTCAGACCGTGAGCAGACTGGTAATTTCTAGACAAATACTAATGACCTCCTGAGCCAAAAAATGCCGTGTGTGCATTTCATAAGTAACACCTTCATGAAGAATGTAGTTTTACCTGCAGTTAAAATGAATTTTGCTGCTATACACAGTAATACAATTTTGTGGAGCTTGCTACATTGTAAACGAACAAAAAACGTTTATGTTTTGTTTCCATTCTCAAGCATTACATGTGTGGTCAACAAGAAACATGTTCAAGCGTAACTCACTTAAGAATATCATTAAATAGATATGAATGAGAAACGTTACGACAGCTGTATCGTGGGAGTATCTAAAATGAAGCCAAAACATCCCTGTAAATGTAGTAAACCTTTGAAAATGTGACACAAACACTGTCGAAAAGACGCCGAAGAAGAGGGACCCAGAAAAGCCACCTCAGGACCGGGAGCTTGGCGCGTGGCTGGAAGCGGAGCCAGATAGCACAAGGTGACCATGCTTATGCCCATCTTGATTTCAACTGCACCGCCTCCACCAAGCCGTAGCTGTTGCTCACACACACTTAGACACTCACACATTGAGTGTGACGGTCACACCCGTACACAGTCACGGGCTCACGTGTTCGCGCAGTCACACGCACACAGCAGCCTCGGGTTATACAGGCTTTCACACCGGGCTGTGGCCAGAAGCAAACTGAGAAGTTTGGCATGAGACTGTTACCGCGTGGAAGGCGCACCAAAGCTCGCTGCAATCCCAGCCAGCAGCAGTGTCTGATAAAACTGGGGGCCTAACAGCTATAAACATGGCTGGTGAACACAAATCACCCTAAGACTCTAACCTTGTGATCTACATAGTTCGGGATACTACAAGACTAGGCTAAGTATATTTACTTCCTTGTTAAAAGGTGGTACAAGACAACAGCAACAACCAATCCCTTAAAAAGTATGACTCAACTAGTCATCTGGAACATACAAAAAAATCAATACAAAACCAACTAACCGCAAAAAACAAGTGTTGCTCTCACCTGCTTCTGGCTGACCTCTGACAAGAAGTCCATCTCTCCTGAACATGAAACAGCTTCAAAAGGTTCCTAACTCAGCTCCATACCTCTCCAGCTCAACGCCGAACGACCCACTTCCCCTGGGCAGCTGAGAAGCCTGTTTATTTTAAGCCTTTATGTTGACCGGCTCCAACTCCAGATCAAGTTTAGTGCCGTGCAACTGCTCCTGATGTAATTCCAGACTGGCTCTTAGCATGACACTGCTCCTGCTGCACCATCTCCAGGTGTCCCACGGCACAGAGCTCTGCACAGCTCCAGTTCCACTCCAGCGTAGCGTGGAGCCTGTAGCCTGTGTCTCGCCAGTGTGCCTATCCGTCTGCGTCACAGTCCAGTACCGGTGACTCAGCATCCTTCCCTGGTTACTCATTGGAGATGGAAGTTAAACATTCTCCAGGCAAGATGAATGTGCTTTTAGACAGCGAGATAACGCAGTGACGACTTCTATGTGTGGCTCCATCCTGTTATGCGTTGGAAAGGTACTTAATCCAGATTATAGACTGCAGATTTGTAAAAATACGAACATAGAATATGAACGGCTCAATAGGTTAATAACCTGCCTGAGCACCCCCCAGCCAGCAAGGGGCAGCACTGAATGGAGTCCATTTCTACTGCAA